CCCAACACTGCAGAGCCCCAGCTATAGTGACCCGCCTGGTCCCAGTCACTGAGGTAGTGGACCCACATCTAGGACACAGTGTCACCCATGGCGTCGGGGAAGAGAACGCAGGCAAATAGGTGTAGGATCCACGCCCTGCAGTAGTACCCAACTGTCTTCTCGGGGCACTATACTGAACTCTTGCCGGAGCTAGGAGATGAGAACTCTAGAAGTGCGAGCCCCTTGCTCGCCAAGCTCATGCCCAAGGAAGGCCTCCACTCGTGCTCTCCAGCCTTTTGACCTACACTGCCCGGTGACTGGGTTGCCGTGAATCCTCAGGCCTAGCATCTTCTGACAGTCCTGGAGCATGACTGCCATCTCCCCGAAAGGTAGGTGAAAGTTGTGAGTCTCCGGCCGCCACCTATATTTTAGACAAAGCAAGATTACATGTCAAAAAGGCAAGCGCATGAACAAATGGCCATGAATGGAGGCAATGATTGAATATAATACCTGTCAACCAACGCAGTTATGGCCGCTGAGTTGAACTTGGGCAACCCACGATGAACCTAAAAGATATGACATCCAGGCCAGCTCTTTGCAAGAAAGGAGTGTACCTGTCGTCGTACCGCATGTCTAAGAACCCATTGTGGGTTCTAGGACGAAGGAGCGGAATGTCCTACATGGAATAAAACATAGTCTCCTGTTACTTCATGAACACATGTACGCTCACCAAAATTTGAACAAAACGTATAGATTATTACCTACCCCTGCGCTATGAGACGTCCTCGGTGGGTCGCCTCGTACATCGAGTCGAGCAGGTGGAATTACGCCATCCTACAAAAAAAGTCAATGTATTAGAAATTCAATATACAATGAAACATGAACTTAGAAATGTACAACTAATTGACACAATTGCATGCATAAATTGAGACATGCATAACTAATTAAATATTTAAATGATTATGCCAAATATGAAATAATAAAATAAACCAATAGTCGCACCTCACTAATCTGCCAACGGCAACTTCATGAATTATGGCCAAGTCTACCACACTTGCCGCACTCGTACTGCTTAGGGTCAGTAACAAATGGGGTTCCTCTCCCACGCCTCATTCTTCCGGGTATCTGATCCATAACCATCATGTGCCTCGTCCTCTTCCTTGGTCCACGCTTGTTCCAATGGTAAGCTGGATCCACAATGTACTTCGATCCATCATATGGAGGCCACTCTCTAGGGTCCCGGAAAGGCACAAAGTGGGGGCTCCATGTGTGCACAAGCGTGTTGACACTGGACTCGTAAGGTATCCTGCTCTCGATATTATAGTTGCGATGCCTAGCTGCTGCCACCAAATGGGAACATAGAAAGTGGTACTGCCTTGATTTACCACAAGTGCATTTGAAATCTTGGAGGACAACCACATGCATCCTCGACTCTCAGACCTCGCCATCGGACGTTGTACCGCCCCTATGCTCGACCTGATAAGTCCCTATGGCGTGGTCAAAGCATGTAACCTCATGTGTGCCAGCCCTTTCATTTGCCTTCTCTAGGTGTGCCTTTGGTTTTGGAGCCCATATCTCTCCATCACTCTGTAACTTCAATGTATGGGCGTGTCTATCGTTGAACCAGGCAATAAGCTTATAGAAGGTGAATTGAACGATTGCATTCATGGGCATACCACGTATCCCCAATAGCAACTTATTGAATGACTCCGCCATGTTGCTGCACTGAAACTCGTACCTACATCCACCGGCGTCGTGGGCTCTCATCCATTTCTCCAAATCCCTCATCAAACCTATGAGCCATTGTCTACCTTCTGCATTTGATGCGGTTCTAACCTGCTCCAACTTTTTCTGAAAGTACTTATCCTCAAGCTGTCGAGCAGCCTCCTAGAATAGATCAAAGTTACCCTTCACACCATCCTTCTAGAGTAGATTCTCAGCAAGGTGCCGAGTACACCAATGATGGTGCAAAGGTGTATACCCCTCTATCTGCTCTCGCATGGCATTAAGTATGCCCTGGTGCCTATCAGATATGACGCCAACCTCCCTACTAGGCCCAACCACGTGTATCCGGACTAGCCTCAAGAACCATCCCCAACTATCATTGTTCTCCTTCTCAACCAAAGCAAATGCCAAAAGAACCAACTTGTTGTTCGCGTCACAGGATATGGCTATAAGAAGTGTGCCCTGGTATTTGCCAATCAAGAACGTACCATCAATGGAGAAGACGGGACGACAGTGCCAAAAGGCCTCTACACACTGAGGGAAGCACCAGAAAGCATGGAAGAATATCTGCCTCCCATCCTTCCATGTATTTGGTTTTGGGATGTACTCATAATGCATGCCTGGATTCACCGCTTTGATTTCATTGAAAAGTACAGGCAGCTGCTGGTACCCATCCTCCTAGTCCCCATATATCATCTTACACGCTCGCTGTTTAGCCCTCTAAGCTTTACCATGAGTTATCACATAATCTCCATACAACGCCTCAACGGTCCTGATAATTGTTCTCACCTTTATGTTGGGTTCTCCCTCCAATATTCCCATCAACCGCTTGACAATGAGGGTAGATGTCAACTACCGAAGCCTCAGTGTCAGCTCATGGTCAGCACAATTGTGTGGCCCAACAACTTTTGTGATCTTCCACTTTTCGGTGACCTTTTGCTTTCTTGCACAAACCCTCCATAGGCAGCGTTCTTTATCACACACAACTGTGTAACGGCGCTCTGCATATGAATGCAAGACCTTATAAGGTCTCTTTCGTATCACTACAAACATCTCTGCAATCACCTCTTCAATGCAAGAAGGTCCTTGAACACCCTCCCACTCTTAATTACCATGTTAGGGCTAGCCTCAGGAGCTTCTAGGAGCTCATCATCACATCCTTCTACACATGCCTGATCGAAATGAGCAAGATCGCTAAACTCGTAAACTCTTGGATCACGACGGCCGGGAAAGATACGCCTCAGCATCTCAACATCACTCTCTGTCAGCTCTCCAACAGGATGATCATCATCAGAATCAAAAGCCCTTGCCATCTCATATGGTTCCAAATCATTCATAATTTCAACACTATTGGAGCCATGGAATCCATCTCTACAGTGCACTTACGCAGCAACAGGGGGCACATCCACATTCTTAGGAATGTCTCCTGCAACATAAGCAGAAAAATGAGGAAAGAATGAAAGAAATGGATGTAAGAAAGGGTAAGCTCCCAATAACCATGCGGTTAAGACACTTACTCGGATGATTCTGTGTCAAAAGGATCTCATGAGGAGGATCTGCCACAACAACATGAGTCTGACAAGCATCTCCAACTACCGCATTGGGGGCAGATTGAGCATCGAAAACTATAGGTGTAACCTCCACATGCATATCAGGTTCTGGGATGGGAGGGTCGATGTGTACCTGCTGACCCATTGGTGGGGAAAACCTATGAGGGATGGGATCAACTAACACCCGACGCACAACCACGTCCAAACATTACAGCTGGCTCTTCATAGCTGATCTCACATAGTTCTCCCACTGATTCACACACCCAATTGGGATCATTCGCCTGAGGATGTTGGGAGGAGAACCTAGGTGCAGTACACCCTCAACTACAATGCCATCATCTCTAAGGCAATGCAGCTCCTCCCGAGCCCTTGCAACCATCTCACTAAATGAAGGCCTATCATTGAATAGCACAGGCACGCTTTGCATGTCAACAAACTCAATATATCCATAGCGATCGTATTCAACGGTGCCTCCATGATATATGGTCACTAGGTTGTCCATCTAGTTCAAACATATAACGAAACACATGTCCTTTAGTCCAAATTAGACGATAGATAGTACCTAACAATTATTTTCTAACTACAAACTAAGTAAATAAGATAATAACTACATACATAGATATAGTGTACTAACTAAATAGCTAGATCCTATTTAGTTAACTAAATATGTAACTACCTATCTAAGTAGCTATCTAACTATATCTATGTATCTATGTTTCTATCTATATACATATCTATCTCACTAGATCACTAATTAACTCAACTACCTGAGTCATCACATTAACTAGTAAATAACAAATGCCAAAACTACTATACTACAATCAAAGCTAACTAAGTACGCACATTGCAAATTCACAATTTTTACCTATCCGATGATGGAGTCGCGGACGTTGACGTGAGTCGGGTCGCGTCGAGGCCAATCGCCGCCCGGCGTGGAACGTCAGAAATCTTAGGACCCGGTGGCGCGGGCCAGGATGGTGGTGGTGCAGCTCTGAGGCCGGGCTCTGCTCAGGCGGGTAGGCGGACGGCACGCTTGAGGCCAGTGGGCGGGCGACACGGCACGTCACGGAACACTTGGCGCAGGCGAAGCGAAAGGCTAAGGCATGGGCGCGATGGCACGTCGGGCGAGGCGGGCGGGAGGAGCTGGGCGCATGGGCGCCGGGCGGTCCGGTGGGGCGGCGCTGAAGCACATCAGGCGAAACGGGCGTGGAGACCTGCCTGTGGCGCGGGTGATGCGCGGTCAGGCTACATGGCCTCGCCACGCCCAAGGGGCGGGCGTGGCGAGCGGCGCGACGGATTTGAGAGCGGGCCAGGCATGCTTTCAGGCGAGGGAGGTGCGAGAGAGAGAGGGAGAGGAAGAGAGAAAGGATTGGGGCCCATACGTAAGACAGGCTCGGCGTCTCACCCTAGCGTCTGGCGCCGAGCTTCCTCCCATGTCACCGCCACGTTTGCTTCGAGCTTAAGTGCTTGGCGCCAGCAACGACGGTGCCAAGCTAAGTGCCTAGATTTTGAAATCTTTTCTCAGAAACATATTTGTGAATTTTTTTAAAAAAAAAAGGCTAAAAAATAAAAATTTCGGGTCGCCCGCGCGCAGCTCAGCCAGAGCCATAAGGGGAACAGGTGCTCCAGCTCCCAGTGCCAGTACATTGTCAACTACGGCGATGGCTCGAGCACGACCGGGACCTACAGCTCCGACACGCTCACGCTGGGCTCCAACGCCATCAAGGACTTCCAGTTCGGGTGCAGCCAGTCCGAGTCCGGCGGCTTCAACGACCAAACCGACGGGCTCATGGGGCTCGGCGGCGGCGCGCAGTCTCTCGCGTCTCAGACGGCGGAGACCTTTGGCAAGGCCTTCTCGTACTGCCTCCCGCCGACTCCGGGTTCCTCACTCTCGAAGCGGCAAGTTCGGGCTTCGTGAAGACGCCGATGCTCCGGAGCACCCAGATCCCAACTTACTACGGCGTGCTCCTTGAGGCCATCAGGGTGGGAGGTCAGCAGCTCAACATACCCACCTCGGTCTTCTCCGCCGGGTCGGTCATGGACTCCGGTACGATCATCACGACGCTGCCGCCGACCGCGTACTCGGCGCTGTCGTCGGCGTTCAAGGCCGGGATGAAGCAGTACCCGCCGGCACAGCCAAGCGGCATCCTCGACACTTGCTTTGACTTCAGCGGCCAGTCCAGCGTCAGCATACCGACCGTCGCACTAGTCTTCTCCGGGGGCGCCGTCGTCGACCTCGCCTCCGACGGGATCATGCTGCAGACCAGCAGCAGCATCCTCTGCCTCGCCTTCGCGGCCAACAGTGACGACAGCTCCCTCGGCATCATCGGCAACGTGCAGCAGCGGACGTTCGAGGTGCTGTACGACGTCGGCGGTGGCGCTGTGGGGTTCAGGGCAGGGGCTTGCTGATCGGCGCCCAGCCGACCACAAGGACACACTGACATTATGGGGTTGACCGTTCACGAGTTGTTGGATGCTCGTTTGTTGCTGCCAGCTAGGAGTAACAGACACGAAAGTGAGGCCAAACCATCGCTCGTTACCCGAAAAGTCAAATTTGTTGACTGTTTTTATGTTTGTCGAGTGTATTTCGTCGGATACTCAGCGAATAAGTTTATTGTTGAGTGATGCGCTAAAAACATATAGCAAAAAAATAACACTCGACAAATAGATGGTTTGTCGAGTGTCAAAAAAAAACACTCGGCAAACAGGAGGTTTGCCGAGTGTTTTCTTTTTTACACTCGGCAAAGAAATAAAATCTTTTTTTTCGAGGAAAGAAGGAGAAGAAAAAAAAAAAAAAACATTACGAATGCCCAAATCTAGGACACTCAGCAAAGAAATAAAATCTTTTTTTTCGGGAAAGAAGGAGAAGAAAAAAATGAAAAAAAAAACTTTGCCGAGTGTCCAGATCTAGGACACTCAGCAAAGAAATAAAGGCCCCGTTCGGCTTACTCAGAAAACGGCACTATTCAGCTTATTTTTTCAGCCGGAACAATATTTTTCTCTCACAAGAATTCAGCTTTCAACCAGTTTCAGCCACAATTCAGCGAGCCGAACGGGCCAAAATCTTTTTCTCGGAAGAAAAAAAAACTTTACTGAGTGTCCAGATCTAAACACTCGGCAAAGAAAAAAATCATATTTAATTCAATGGCCCGCGCCCCTCCCCTCCCCCTTCTCTCGCGGCCGCCCCCTCCCTCCCTCCTCCTCCCCTTTCCGTCACGCCCCCCCTCCCTCCCTCTTTCCCTCCCTCCCTCCCCCGCCTGTGTGCCCCTCCCTCCCCTTCTTCTCCCACGGCCGCCACCTCCCTCCCTCCCCTCTCCTCCTCCCTCTCCCTCTCCCAGCACGGCGGCGCCCTCCCCCTCCCTTTCTCGGCGGTGGCGCCCTCCCCCCTTCCTCTCTCGGCATGGCGGCGCTCCCCCTGCCTCTCCTTGCCTGGCCGCCCTCTCCTCCTCCTCCACGCCTCCACCAAATCCGGCCCCGGCGAGGGTGGATCCGGCGACAATGGCGCACGGGGAGGCTGGATCCAGCCCCGGCACGGGCGGACGGATCCAGCCTTGGCCCCTCCTCTCCCAGCCTTGGCGGCCCCCTGCCCCCTCCTCTCCCGGCGGGCGCCTGCCTCTCCCCTCCCCAGGCCAAGGCCGCCTCCCCATTCCTCTCTCGACATGGCGGCACCCCCCTGCCTCTCCCTTTCCAGGCGACGGATCTACCGGCGGCGCTCCTCCACCGCCTCCACCAGATCGCCCGGCGCGGACAGATCCGGCGACGGTGGCGCACGAGGAGGCCGGATCTGGCCCCGGCGTGGTGGCGGCCTGGGCGTGGTGGCGCGGCGTGGTGGTGGTGCGGCATGGTGGTGGCGCGGCGAGGAGAAGACGGCGGTGGCGCGGCGAGGAGAAGATGGCGGCTTGTTTTTTTTATTTTTTCTGAAAAATTGTTTGCCGAGTGTTTTTTGGGCACTCGGCAACGTCTTTACCAAGTGCGCGACAAAAAACACTCGACAAACTAGCGTTTGCCGTCAAAACGTTTACCGAGTGTCGTTGGCTGAGTGTAACACTCGGCAAACTCTTTGCCGAGTGTTTTTTGGGCTTCGCCGAGTGCCCCTAGCACTCGACAAAGATCATGTATCCGGTAGTGACTTATAGGCTATAGTACTTCGATTTTGATTGTTTTTTGTGATTGCAAGATAATGCAAGCGTGCAAAGTACCAACCAAAAGATAATTGTAATTTTATCCTCATAGTTTATGAATAAACAATAATAATGTATTACGTTGTTTTCACAATATTTTTTATATTATGGAATGTCTTTTCACAATGAGTGATGATACTACCAATTATTGGTCTATCTATTATGATTATGATGAATGCTCATAAAATAATTGATTACTCACCATTGCCTTCCAACGAATGGCGCCCTCCAACGAAACCTCTGATTAATTCTCACTAAACACGGAAGAAAAAAAAGATTCTAAAAGTTCTCATACTCCCTTCATCCTGTTGGATATACTATTACCAATTGGAAGTCTCTAATGAAAAGCCTCCATATTAACTCTCGCTAGATGCATTGAAAAAAAGAAAGAAATAATAGAAATTCTCATGAAACCAGAAATATTTTTTTCATTAATCCGATGGGCACTAACATAACTATTAGATCTATTATATCTTCTAAAACATAACACACCTTTGTCATTATGAAAAATGTAAAGTATCCCTCAAAATTACTCACCAATACTCTATTAGAGACACTCCTAGTTGGCCCACATCCTAGTTTTAAGGGCTTAGTGATAAAGCATCAACCTCTAACAGAGCCCCTACTCACCAGTGTCATGCATCCGCCCCTCCCCCCACCACCTTCTGTTCTAGCCTCCAAAATGCCCTCCCATTGTCTAGAATCGGCTCTCCCACTTCCCTTCAGCATCTTTTCTCGTTGGATTTAAGCTCCTAGCAGGAACCCTAGCTCAGACCATCTCACCTAAGTGTCGCCACCCTTTCTTTCGATCTTCCTTGAGGGCTACCCTGATGGTGATCTCCCTTCCCTGCAGGTTGTTTTACCCGTGAGCTCGTCCTCCTCGCGGGACGCTCCAACCAAAAGCTCATCCTCCCCGTTAACCTTCCCGACCATGAGTTTGCTCTCCGAGTTGGTGTTTGACGTTAAGAACGTCCTCCAAATAGGGTGCCCCCCTATGAACTCACCCTGATCAAGCTCCCCTCCCTTCAAGCCTCACTGGCCGTGAGCTTGCCCTCCTAGTCGGCCTCCTCGACTGCGAGCTCACCCTCTCGGACGCAGTCCTTGCCCAAGCTCCTTTACCTCGAGGTCGCTCGCCCCCATGCTCAAGCTTATGCACCTTGCCCCATGTTAAATATTTTTTCTAATATTGTTTTTAAGATTTGAATGGATTGTTCCAAATATTTCAAATTATTTGCAATTGGTGAGTTTGATTGTGAATGCTATGTCAATTTCTGTGCTAATCTGTTTGACAATTGTAGAACATTTGGTATGTCATTTTGTTTGTTAATTGTGAGAAATATCTATGTCAATTTGTTCGATAGACAGTTTGTTTGTCATTTCTTATGTTCGTGGACTCTACATCATGGTGGTCTATGTGATGCAATGTACCATGTTGTTTTAATTTAATTTACCGCGTTTGAATTCATGGATTTGAATATTATTCAAGTCAATAATGTAGTTTCAATCTAGGTAGTGACAAATAAATAGGACATAAAGTATATGTGCAGAAAAAGAGAAATAAAAGTAAGAGCCCTGATTTGAGAGCAACCGATGGAGTTGAGCTCAGAAAAAACAATGCACTCAAGTAGGGGAGCTAAAAAAAGGTTATGATTTTAAGGCTAGGCTTTCGCTCTGAGTTGCTTTTGTGAAACATAATATTAGTTACGCCTAGATCTACATATCTACTTATGTCTAAATTACCCACCATGCTACTATAACAGATAATCTTACTGGTCCCTTTAAATTTATATCTCAATTACCACTTCTTCCGTTGTGAATCTCCTTAAATCTAAATATAAATTACAAACATGAATATGTTTAAATAGTCATAGTATATGTTTCTAAATTATCCACTCATATTATCATTACTAACTAATACTATTAAAACAAAATCTAAAGTTATGCACAAATGAAACATTATAACATATCGGTCATCTTTTCATGGGACTCTAGTCCGCGATGGCTGCGCGTGATATCGATCGCCATTTCGTAACGATATATGCACTAACTCGATTAGCAGCCCATCGTCTAGTTGGACAGCGAGACATGAGTCGTAGATAGACCTCCTTTGTATAAAGCAATGTCGCGAATCAATTGGAACGTGTCATGTGTCAACACGTTTACGTCTCTAGTTATAGCCCCCTAAGGTCCTGTTTGGTTGAGCTGTGGCTGTGGGAGAAAGTTACTGTGGGCTGTGAGCTGTGGAAAAGCTGCTGTGGGCTGTGAGCTGTAAAAAAGCTAAAAGCTGTTTGGTTAAACAAGTATAAAATATACCTTTTATCTTTATCTCTCTTGAAACAACTATGGAAGAGTTTTTTATTCCACCAATTTCGAAAAGCAGAAAGCCAAAAGCCAAAAGCAGGATCAAACCAGCTTTCAAAAATGAACTACGGAAAAGCAGCTACTTCTGAAAAAGCACCCTCTAAAAGCAGCCCCTTTGATTAAGCTTTTGGCTTTTAGGGCCAAAAGCCAAAGGCAAAAACCCAACCAAACAGGACCTAATTCCACCAACGAAAGAACTTCCACCGCTACTGTGTATGGTATACGCTCTCCTGTAGTTTGTCTGTACTATCATGTACAGTGTATGTAACTTTGTATGTATGATGTATCTCTATACTTTCGTGTACGTACGTGCGCACACGCATATACTTGCTATACTACTAATCGATGAGTGGATGAATCAGCAGGAGCTGGGTCTGAACCCGACGGAGGTGCCGTCGATGCGCACCTCGAACGACCGCTGCTGCACGTTGCCGAGGATGGCCATGCCACCGTCACTGCCGCTGGGCGCGAACGCGAGGCAGCCGAACGACAGGATCCCGTCGGCGCCCAGCGTCACGGTCGCGCCGCTGCTGAACGTGAGCGCCACGTTCGGGAGCGTCACGGCGCCGTACCCGGAGAAGTTGTAGCACGTGTCCAGGATCCTGGTCGGCGGCGCGGACGGGTAGCCGTACGAGGCCATGCCGCTGCGGAACGCGGACCGCAGCGCCGCGTACGCGGTCGGGGGCAGGCGGGTGATGACCGTGCCGGTGTCTATCACCGTCCCGCCCGCAAACACCGACGCCGGCACGCTCAGCTGCTGCCCGCCGACGCTGATGCCCGTCAGCATCACGACGTAGTAGGTCGGCGCGTTAGGCGATGACAGCAGCTGCGTCGTGGAGAAGCCCGGCGGCGCCACGCCGGACGGCCCGCCCAGCGTCAGGTACCCCGTGGTGGACGGCTTCGTCGGGAGGCAGTAGGAGAAGACCCCGCCGTACGTGGCCGCTGTCTGCTCCACGAGCGACGTCTGCTCGCGGCCGAAGCCGAGGAGCCCGTCGTTGCCGGTGAACAGCCCGCTCTGCGCGTGCCCGCAGCCGAAGAAGAAGCCCCGCACCTTGTCGTTCGGCGACAGAGTCAGCGTGTCGGAGCTGTACACGCCCGTGGTCTTGGACCCGTCGCCGTAGCTGACCACGTACCCGCACTGCGCCGCCGAGCAGGCGGACGCGTAGATACCCAGCCCTTCGCACACGGACCCTCCGCACGGCACGGAGGCGTAGGACGACGACTGGGCGGGGTCGAAGAGCGGGTCCTTCTGGCTGTAGCACGCCGGCGCCGCGCACGGCTTGCACTGCACCCACGACAGGTCGCTGCCGGTGTCCACCTCCAGCGTCTGCACCACGCCCGGCGTGCCGAGGCTCACCGTCACCACGTAGTTGAGCGTGCCGATGTCGAACCCCCAGTTCACCGGCACCGTCGCCGCCGCCTCGCCCTTGGAGTCCCACAGCTGAGGCGCGCCGCGCCCCGACACCCTCCTCAGTATGTACTCCGCCCGGCGCTGGTCCGCGCGCAGCGTGTCAGCGACCGACGGGGTCGCCAGGGACGACGCGCGCGAGGGGGCGCACGGCCCGTGTTTGTGCGTCAGCCGCAGCACGGCGGCCGTGCCGTTCCGCCGCTGCGGCACAACTGAAACATCACCGAATTCCAGCCAATGAATCAATCAACACTATCGAAATCAAAGCTCCCAGTCCCAACAAACACAAACACAAACACACACACGGAAAAGAGAAACCGAAGCAACTGATCAGGCTGCCGCTATCCGCGTACCTGGGTCGGGGGCTCTGCACGTTGAGGACGGCCTGAAGCTGGCGGCAGAGACGGTGACGTAGCCGGGCGCCACCTCGGCGCCATGGGAGCAGGGCAAGAAACCGAGTGCTCCGGCGCAGAGGAGTGACAAGAGGAGTGCGCGGCGCACCACGGGGGAGCTCATGGCGCCTTGGTTCGGCTCGGATGGTAACAAAAGACGGTGCCTAAATAAGGACGACAAATCGGGCCGCCGTCCTCGGCGGTGCGGTGCGACGCGCGAGACCTGGGCGAGTGCGCCGGAGGGCGAGCCCATCACCCGTGGAATTCTTGGTCCTTTGGCGTGGTTCGCGGTAGACGGACTGGCGGCGTCGCTGCTGCCCGTGTCTTTTCCACCGGCACGGCCAGCACTTGGGCACGCACGATAGCACGATGCGATGCGATGCGAATGGTCTTCTTTCGGTAGGTCCTCCAGCACCGGACACTTTGCACAATCGATCCCAAGCCAAGTGCATACAACTGGCCGAGGCCAACCGAATTGACCTGTGATGCAACATAACACCAGTCAAATTGGATGGACTCGATCAGGTCGGTTGTATGCTCTTGGGTTTTGGTCCTCAAGTTTCAGCAAACTCGTCTTCTGGTTCTGGTACGAACTCACTCAACCAACCGAACAGATTCCATTCTCATGACATCCTCTTCGCCGAAAAGAGGGCTCAAACTGTGGCACCCAATTCGTCACGGCACCTGAGGACCTTGTTCCCTACCCCTGACGGAGACCTTTATCTACCGCTCCGTGCTCCCCTCTTTCCAGTGCGCGGTTTTGGGATCTTGCTGGGGCCGGCGGCCGGGGGCCAGGGCCGTCAGCCATGACGCCGACATGAGTACATGGCTGCCCTGGCCCGAAGGCGCGATCGCCTTGGAGACGCAGACACCGCCTTCTCTGCGCGGACGCGCACTCCGGGTCTCTTTCGCCGGCGTCGCCAGCACCCGTCCGGCTGTCCACCACCTGATGCCGGCGTGTCGCGATGCTGACATGCGCACTTCTCACGGTTTGTTTTGCTGCTGGTTTTTCCCGGACGGCTCGGTGGATAACTGGCTTGCTGCTGCGTGCTGCCATCCATCTGGTCCGTCTGCATGTGGTGGAGCAGGGCCAAACATAGCTGACGTGCTTGAGCGTGGTTGCAGGCCCAAAAATATCTGACGTTTTCAAGCGTGGTTTGCCAGATCGGTCTTGGTCTCTCCTGGTGAAGTGGCGAGCAGCCCGGGCCAGTTCCCTTGAACTTATTAGCCGGTTTATCGACTAGAATTTATAGTATTTTTCTCTCACAATAGAACAGTTATAGCCGGTTTATCAGTCGGCTTTAATACCAGCCGAACAGTGGTATGTCTTGTTCGTATAGTGGAGCGAGCACTAGCTAGGCATTCAGGTACGCACCCACGTTCGCCGTTTTGTTTGGTGCGGACAAAGTGATCTACGTATAGGCCCCGTTCGCTTCGCTGAAAAAACAAGTCAAAACACTGTTCCGGCTGATTTGTTGTGAGAGAAAAACATTGTTCCGATGAAAAAAATAAACTGAAAAAGACGGATTATAAGAGAAGCGAACAGGACCACAGAGACTAGAGTCATAAGAGTCCAATTGCGTACCCATGGCGGTCGGTTTCATAGTCGGCCAATAAAATACTCCCTCAGTACTAAATTAGACTTGTTTAGATACAACAAATTTTATACACTTTCCCTAAACGGTGCTTGAAAATTTGAGTTACTTCGAGCGACGTGCTGGTTCTGTGGCACGACCACGTTGTATTTTTCTCTTGTGATTTTGTTATAATTTGTTAATTGTCTCTTTGTGTTACAAGATGTTAATTTTTGTCCTTATCTAATTATAGAAAAAAATTATGAATTGTTAATTATCTTTGTATCAACATATATTAGATTTTGTCAGGTCTGTAGTTTTGTCTATCGGGTTTTTTATTCTCGGATCTGAAACTGCCTACAGAAATTGAATGAACAAAAGCTATAATTTTAACATAAAATATATGTAATAACCATCGCCCGAAAGGAGGTCAAACTCCCAACATATCTAGATACATAGTAAAAATAATGTATCTAGAATAGCCAAAACGTCATATAATTTGGAAGATACTGAGTAATTGAAAGGAAAGGTCTTAATGGCTAGAGAGGTGAATAGCCTATAAAAATATCTACAACAACACTTAGCAAACCGGTTAGACAAATATGAGGCGAAGCGAGTGTTGTGCTAGCCTACTAAAGATGCAAGCGACCTACCACAATTCTAGTTGATATAGTCTCTATCCACACAATGGCTATGTCACTACACTAAGTTAGTGTGCTCTCAAAGGCTAACTAAAAAGTCACACTAATCAAACTAATAAGCTCTCACGACTAGCTACACTAAAGAGCTTGACAACTAGTTTGCGGTAATGTAAAGAGAGAGCAAGATGGTTATACCGCCGAGTCGAGGAATGAACCAATCAATCACAAGAATGAATACCAATGAAGACCAATCACCTCAGAATCAAATGATGACACAATAATTTTTTTACCAATGTTCACTTGCTTGCCGGCAAGCTAGTCCTCGTTGTGGCGATTCACTCACTTGGAGGTTCACGCGCTAATTAGCATCACACGCCAAACCCTCAATAGGGTGCCGCACAACCAACACAAGATGAGGATCACATAAGCCAAGAGCAATTTACTAAAGTACATTTTGGCTCTCCGCCGGGGAAAGGTCAAGAACCCCTCACAATCACCACGATCGGAGCCGGAGACAATCACCAACCTCCGCTCGACAATCCTCGCTGCTCCAAACCGTGTAGCTGGTGACAACCACCAAAAGTAACAAGAGAATCCCACAGCGAAACATGAACACCAAGTGCATCTAGATGCAAACACTCAAGCAATGCACTTGGATTCACTCCCAATCTGACAAAGATGATGAATCAATGATGGAGATGAGTGGGAGAGCTTTGGCTAAGCTCACAAGATTGCTATGTCAATGCAAATGGCCATGAGAGTGAGCTAGAGCCGACAATAGGGCTTAAATAGAGAGCCCCCTCAAATAGAGCCATTGGCTCTCTGTTCACTGAGAAATCGGGGTGACTGGACGCGCCGGTCAGATCGACCGGACGCATGACCCCAACGTCCGGTCGCGCGATGCACGCCACATGGCCCTTGCTCCAAATGTTGATCGCCCGATCTCAACGGTCATCAGGCACTTAAGTTGTGATCGGATGCTCTACAGTGTAGGACCAAACACAGGACCCCAGCGTCCGGTCACTTCCAGTAAGGTTCCAGTCACGACTGGACGCATCAGTTCGATCACGACCGAACGCAGGAGGGGCAGCGTCTGGTCGAGTCCAGAGAGCTCCCAGAGCTGCTCAACTGCGACCGGACGCATCCGGTCGATCACGATCGGACGCAGCATCAGTGTCCGGTCCTTTTCCTCTTCTCTGTTCCGCCACGTCAGCGGGACCGGACGCACTCATCACGTGTTCGGTCACGAAGTGACCCAGCGTCCGGTCGAAGACCGACGCCAGCGTCTTCACTTCTTTCCACTCACCTCACGCGCCGGTGAAGTTTCAAACCCTTGCTCCCAAGTGCTAAACACAATGTGTATCACCTTTGTGCATGTGTGTTAGCATATTTTCACAAACACTTTCAAGGGTGTTAGCACTCCACTAGATCCTAAAATGCATATGCAATGAGTTAGAGCATCTAATGGCACTTTAATAACCGTATTTCGATACGAGTTTCACCCCTCTTAATAGTACGGCTATCGAATCTAAATGTGATCACACTCGCTAAGTTTCTTGATCACTGAAACAAAATGGTTATATGGGGAAAGTAACTAAATAAGCTTTTTTATTAGAGGGTAGTTTTCATCAAAATGTCTATTTCTATCAAATAGAATGGATATAAAGATGTCTTCCCATAGCCCATATACCGGTTGGCATTACCTACAAGTACAATATTTGTAAAGTTCCATTTCATTTCAAATGAACCAAAATTCAGTTTCAGAATGTACAGCCATGTACAGTAAGTTTGCCCTGTTTGCTGGGCTTATAATCCGTATTTTTTCAGCGAATAAACAGTATTTTTCTCTCACAATAAATCAGCCAACAGTCCTTTCAATCATGGTTTATCAGCCAAGCGAACAGGGTACGTTTAAACAGGGCACGTTTATGTAACCCTCACCCCCAAAATATGAGTCGTGCAAATTGCGCACAATCAATGACCAAAAGAATACTGCTACGGCCTACGGAAAGCAAAGTGGCCTCTGAAAGCCTGAACAATCCTCCCTCCCGCGATCCTGCCCATGTCACACACAACTCACAATCCTCTGAACAAGGGCGTGACACTCACCAGTGCCTCCCGTCCCATGCCCCCCTGCCGGCGTCCCATCTCCATTCCGCAATTCTTCCCCACGCCGGGACGCCGGGCATGCACTGCCGCCCTCGGTCCTCCTTCAGGTCGTGGCCCCGTCGCCGCCACCGGCGCCGCGGCTTCCATTCTCTCGAACTGCGCCGACCACTTGGCCTGCACGTACGGCGCGCGCCTCCACGGCGGGACGTGCATGCCCGCGCCGCGGATAGACTCCGCCGCTGCGGCGCACATTGCCGCGGCGAGTTCCTTCAGAGCTCCTGGCCTCGCCACGAGCACCGGCGGCAGGGAGGAGAGGAGGTCCTGGTACTCCGTGCTCGGCCTCGCGATCTCGAATTCGGCTGCAACGTTGACCTCCACGATGTAGCGAGATGAAGGCGGTGGCGAACCTAGCGTCACGTCCACGTACTCGTACGTGCCAGGCGCGGGGATGCTGCTGGTTCTTTCCCACGACGATTTGCAGAGACCTGGATGTATGCCCAATCAAAGCATAAATGTTAATGACCCCTCCAGCCTCCAGTTGGTAATCTTGCGACTGTTAATCAATCGTGCATTCGTGCCGAATTGGGAGGTGGAATTGGAAACTAGAGTGCTCACGTGCTCACTATTTTGCTATTGAAGAGTAGTAGAACATTACCGGCGTCGTAACCCCTTGCAAGGAGCCGCTCCACAAGGTGCTTCCTGATCCCGCCGCCGCCAGCGACGGCTGGCCCAGCGCCTCGGACAATGCGCTCCGCCTCGGCGCGGATTCGTACGGCCGCCACGTCGGCGGCCGTTTCCGCCAGCGTCAAGCGCACCGTTTCCTTCCCCTCCGTGGTCCGGGACGCCACAGCATCCTTGGTGACGCCGCCGTCCGTGCCGTGCTCGCCGTATCCGTTGTAGAACTCGTCGACCAAATCCATCAGATCGTCGTCGGCATCCGCACGGCCGGACGAGGGCGCGATGTCGCCGATGAACGGGCCCCGTAGCCGCGCCCTCGCCGCCTCGTCCAGCGCCGCTGTCGCCTTCTTGTACGCACCCGAGAACTCCATTGTCACCATGCCGATTGCTGCGCCGATCGAGGCCTTGGTGGAACGTCAAGAACCAATTGTATGGCCGTGGCTGATTGTGTGCGCCGGCGAGCAGGTCCCTCTTGCGGTTGGCGATTGGCGTGCAGTTCCACGAGGGTGCTGGTGTTATATATGTTTCGGTGGGCGTGCGGAGACGTAGCTAGAACCTGACTGCAAACGTGTTCAGGTTCATCGTATAAAGGTTCTTATGTCCAGGTGCGATGAATCGGACGCATCATGTAAAGTCCGTGTTGTGTACTACTACTCCGTACTCCAGTTGTATGATGAAGTCACACTGCTCAATACACGTACACTTTCACTGTCAGGAACAAAGGGTAGCTTTCCCCTGAAGGAAACTTCAGTGAATAATGTTCAATCAAACACGCTCTAGTCATCCATGATCCATGTACAGATGGATCATCCCAGAGTTTGTCCACTTCGGTCGACGATGCGTCCAGGTACATCGCTCATGATAGTAATATAAGATATATCGCTCGTCATTGTAACCGTAGAAATTCTAGAGTAGTCTCCACGTTATATTGAGAAAGTAAAAGAGTAAAATGAACCCGACTAAAGTTCTTTAAAATATCACATGGATATGTTCTCGGCCAAGATGATCATTTAGGTTCTCAATCTGCTTTTAATTCTCACTTGTATTTTCAAACTAAAAAAGTGATTATCTGAATTCTCACTCTACCGTCGCGCTTGATTAAAATTCCAAAACCCACCACCGCCCGCCGCCAGCTGCCTAGGTGGTTGTGCAGGTTAAAGTTGTAAAAAAACTTCTCTCCTTCTCTCCCCCCTTGTGGCCCACCTCTCTTTTGTCTGTTCTATTGCCACCTGGAGAGGCCAACCGAGCAAGCCGACATACAACAGTATTTTTCTCTCACACCAAACCAGCTAACAGTAAATAATCCACGATACGATACGACCTCCCGAACAGGCTAATAGCCACGAGGCAGCCATTAGAGCGATAGGAGACAGTTGGAAGTGTAGGGGGAGGAGCTAGGGGGTGGGTTCTATAAGTTTCACATAGCCTGATAGCATCCACATAGACATAATAGAAGTGACGTGGTGAGATTTGAAGAACTCAAATGTCATTTTTTTAGTCATAGATTGAGGACTCATATATATGGTCATATTTTTTTTAGTTCGAGTATCAAAGTGAAAATCCATGAAAAATTTGAGGACCCATGGTACGTTTTACTCGAAAATACAATTTGTGCCACCGCTTGATCCTCTCGTCATCAGTCGGATGCACAATCCAGTATGACTACGGGCTACGCGTAGCACATCATTGCATACATACGACATAACTAGAAAATTTAGGATGAAGAATACGGGTAAGAAATTTCATCAGCTGCAGAAACTATACGTGAAAAGAACAGAGATATCAGCCACTAACCAACGCTTCTAAGCGTAGCGCATCACTGCATCCGTACGACATAACCGGAAATATAGGATGAAGAATATGGGTACTTGGGTAGGAACTTTCAGCAGCTTTGCTGAAACTATACGAGAAAGGAACAGAGATATGAGCCAGAAATATCTATTACTACGAGTTAAGACTAATGTCATAGTCATTCTAAAGCAAAGGTCGGTTGCCAGAGAACCATTTTCAAGTGAAAAAAGGCAAAACCTCATACAGTAGGTTTACTTCTGCAGCATGGAGATTGAACAGCGACATCGTGAAATCATCTTAAGAGCTGTCCATCAGGTTCTCTGTTGAAGTTGGGTTTACCCCGCCATCACTATTGCTATCTTGATGGTTAACTTCCGCTTTCCTCTCAGCTCCAAAAGTGAAATTGGTGGTGCGATCATTTGGGTTGACTCGCTCAAATATGGATGGCATAGTCATTTGGTTGAACATAGGCGCTTGGATGTCACCTGCTGGTTTTTGATAACCAAATCCAAGAGAAGCAAATGATTCAGTGGGAACCAAGGGTTGAGCACTAGGTCCAAAAAGCTTCAACTCATACTCCAAAAGCTCATTCTGAGAAGCTGCACAGAAGAAACATGTTATGTGAATCAAAGTTTATGTACTTCTTTTCTTTTTCCTTTTTTTGGGTAGTGGTGGTGGTGGTTTGGGGGGGTCTTTTCAAAGGGGTAATTATACAACAACAACAACAACAACAAAGTCTTTAAGTCCCAAACAAGTTCGGGTAGGCTAGAGTTGAAACCCAGCAAAGGGGTAACTGTAATTTGAACAAATCTCAAAATTCTGAGAACCTCGTCACAACACTACATTAACAAGGGAAGGAAAAAGATTACTGCATAAGTTGTTGTGTGTGTCAAGTTTCAAGCAACAAAAGCAATAAGGGTGTGAAAGCTGTTATATTCATTCATGATGTATTAATCTAGTATCTGAAAATTTGATAACAGAGATACGAACTACACACAAGAAACTAAACAATGTAGTTTAGCAGTGCTTATTCACTATGTATATACAGTAGACTGTTGTCAATTCAGGTAAGAGAAAAAATGTTAACATTTGATAGGCAAGGAACCAAGGATTCATAATGCAATAGAGATGATATCTTAATTACTCAACAAGCTTCAAAGGGTATGAAGCTAACCGTTTGTCAGTTGAACCTGCGGTCATGTTAACATTTGATAGGCAAGGAACCAAGGATTCATAATGCAATAGAGATGATATCTTAATTACTCAACAAGCTTCAAAGGGTATGAAGCTAACCGTTTGTCAGTTGAACCTGCGGTCTTCGGTCTTTCACCCATTGAAAAGACTGTGCAAGTCTCCATCCTCTAGACTTCATCAAGAAGGCTGCAACGATAGCAGCAGACCTAACAAAATGCGTTCCAAAGAAGTATTCATCAACCAATCGCAACAAAGCAGACAGCATAAATGCTAATAGTTCTTCACAATCAAGTACCTGTTTTTTCCAGTCATGCAATGAACAAGAACACGTGATTTATCTCTTTCACATTTCTCTGAAATTGCAGAGAAGGAAATCACAATACCATATTAGTGACAATAAAGAGGTATAATAGCTCAGTACTTGAGAAGTATATTACAGTCCTTTCCCTAGTTCCCTTTTCCATGGAAGTAATTTTTATTTGTGGAAACTTCAGAAAGAAGCGATTGGGGAGAAGGCTTATGTGCAATATACAAACAGAAAATAACCTGGAACACAGAAGTACATATAAAAATGTCCATCCCAGCTTAAAAGAGACATGAACCAGGTTGAATGGAAGAAGCAATCAAAAACCAGGTACAAATAATCATATAATGAACCCATTACTTCAGCAGGCAGGTAGAAAAAAATGGAGTTTGTTAGGATGACATGCAGAGGATATCTACTCGAGTTCAATCAGGTAGCAACATGTTTTTTACAGGGGAAACTCTACAAGGAAAAAAAGTAGTTCGCGACAAACTGTACACTTAATTCCACACCGAAATGCTGAAAGAGCAAACAGATAATACCTAGATACTGGTTTGCCTCATCAAAATCCAAAGGCCTGTCCCGTTGAAGACTGTGATACGTGAATGAATTCTTGTATAGATTGTGGCAATCAGGCACAGTCTGTTAAGCAAATAATAAGCATAGTAATTAATCTTCAATTATCATACTGAAGCAAGCTCTAAACAGTCAAGGGCAACATCTATTTTAACAGTGAGGCAGGAATATACAAAAAGTTGTGATAGATATGTACATTAGGAAAGTGTATATTAGGCAAGTCTATATTTAGTATGATTAGCACCTGCCATGTATTGCATGTAACCTGCCATGTATTGGCTATATATATCAAGGTCACCCCCCCACGTTGGGTGTGTGGTGTTTTCCATTCAATCTCTGTTATTCTACGTGGTATCACAGACCGAGATCAATTAGATCCCGGACCTTCTGCTTCCGCCTCCTTCCTCCCCACCTCTCTCCTGGGCGCTCCTCCTCCCTGTGGCGAGATGTCTCCCAACGCCGATGCCTCGGCCGCAGCCGCTGCCGCTGCTGCACCATCAACGCCGCAGGCCGTCGTCGTCCACCCCTACACCGCCGTGAACGTGAAGACTCACATTCCGGTGACCCTGGAGATGAAGAATCCCAACTTCACCAAGTGGGCTTCGTTCTTCAAGGCCTTGTGTGGGAAATTCAGCCTTCGCCCCCACATCGACGGGCCAGCTCCTCCGGCTGATGATCCATCGTGGGACATTGCCGAGTGCACTGTCCGCGGCTGGATCCTCAACACCGTCGACGACTCGGTTCTTGATCTTGCCATCACCGACGAGAACCAGTCCGCCATGAGTTGTGGGTGGCGATTGAGGGCCTCTTCCGCTCCAACACGCTTCCCAGTCGTCTTCTCTCGCTTGAGGAGTTTCACTCCTTGAAACAGGGTGACTCAACGATTGACGAAATTGCCGGCGCCTCAAGATCAAGGCCGCCGCTCTTCGGGACGTCGGCCACACCATCGAGGACTCCCAACTCGTCCTCAGCCTCCTAGGCGGCCTCAACCCGCGCTACACTGCCACTGCCGACGACATCGCCAACTCCACCGAGCTGCCATCCTTCTCCAGGGCGCGAGAAATGCTCTCCCTCAAAGAGCTGCGCCTCGCCAACGACGAGAAGACCACGGTCAGATCTGCCATGGTGGCCGCCTCGCTCCACTCGCACTTCTCCAGTGCCGCCCCCTCTCTCTCTGGCCATCCCGCGCGCCTCCCAAGGGCTCAGGGGCGGCAAGAAAGGCAAGGGCGGCAAGAAAGTATTCGGGCGCGCCAAGGCAACGGCAATGGCGGGCAGCAGGCAGCGGCAGTGGACAACAAGGGGGCAACCGCCCCATGGGGCCCTAGTTCTGCTACAACCCATGGGCCTTCCAGGGCGGCGTTCCTCCTCCGCAGACAAAGAATGGCAAGAGGGCAACAGCTTGACCCGGCCGGTGGCCCCCCTCACGGTGACCAGGGCGGGCGCGGCCAGGGCATCATGGGTGCCAGTCCACGGCCCACACCGTCTTCGCTCCCCCTCCGCCAGCTCCATCCACTCCATCAGGGATCGGCCGGCCTCATCGCCGCCTTTGAACCGGATGGCGCTCGAACTCGGGCCGGGTCATGGACTCGGCGCCACCTCCCACATGCACAACTCGGATGGTATACTCCTCTCCCATCAACCCTCTTCTATCCCATCCATCACTGTTGGCAGCGGTCATCATCTTCCTGTATCTTGCTCCGGCAGCTCCACATTACCATGCCATGCATCTCCTTTTAAACCGCAATGTTCTAGTTGTCCCTCTCTAGTGCGCAACTTACTTTCGATTCGCCAATTCACTCGTGGCAACAATCGCACTATCGAATTTGACGATTTGGTTTTTCATTTAGGACCTGCAGACCAGACGCGTGATTCTTCGCTCCAATAGCTCCGACGGCCTCTACACCGTCCCTGCCACGCCACAAGCCAACCTCGCCACCTCCACCGAACTATGGCATCATCGTCTTGGTCATCCAGGAGCTGCTGCCCTACATTTGCTTAGACAAAATAATTCCATTTCCTGTAATAAATCAGCTCATACTCTATGTCACTCATGTCAACTTGGCAAGCATGTGCGGCCGCCTTTTGGCAATTCCATTCAGCTTTCCTCTTTACCTTTTGAGCTTATACACTTTGTGATGTTTGGACATCCCGGTCGCTAGTATTTACGGTGCATAGTACTACCTTGTCATCCTCGATGACTTCACCCACTTTTGCTTGGACCTTTCCCTAGTCCACAAGTCCGAGGTAGCTACTCACATCACTCGATTCTGCGCCTTCGTCCACACACGATTCAGCCTTCTGTCAAAAGGTTCAGCCGACAATGGCACTTTGAATTCATCAACAATGCCCTCGCCACCTTCTTCGCCTCTAACGGCATTCACTTACGCCTCTCCCGCCTTTACACCTCCCCTCAAACGGCAAGGCTGAACGTATCATCCGTTCTCTGAACAACATATGTCGCACGCTGCTCATCCACGCCCACATGCCACCCAAATATTAGGCAGAGGCGCTAGCTACAGCCACATATCTCCTCAACAGGCGCCCCTGCTCAGCCATTCACCATAGAGTTCCCTATGAGCAACTCTTCAAGCAGTCCCCAGACTACACTATTCTTGAGTCTTGATTGCCTCTGCTATCCCAACCTCACCGCCACTTCCAAACACAAGCCGGCCCCTCGCTCCCACGGCTGTGTCTTTCTCGATACCCTCTCCTCTCACAGGGTTATCGGTGTCTCTCGACCTCACAACTAGACGGATTATCATCTCCCGTCATGTTGTCTTTGACGAGACTCACTTTCCGTTCAGCACTGACCCCACCAGTGAGCCCCCAAGCTCTCTGGATTTTCTTCTTCCAGGTCTTGCCGCGCCGGTGCACCACACTGCCACCATGGTGCCCCTCGCGCCGCCTCCGTCGCCCGATCGCTAGTCGCCACCGAAAGCCCGCGACACACCGAGCTCAAGCTGGAGGAGCTCATTGAGGACCCCGCCATCCTACTGATTGGCCCGGTCCTTCCTCCCGCACGGGGCTCTCTCCTCTCCCGACCGGTCCCACCTCTACGGGTCTCACGTTCGCGGCGGCGTCTTTGGTGCTCCCAGACTGGCCGCCGAGCCGCTCTCTGCACTGCACCGCTCTGCACCAGTCGTGGAGGTGCCCTACCGCGCCCATTGCTCCCGATCAGCCTGCTCTCTCGCCTCAGCCAGTGGCGGCCTCTCCGCCACCTCCTACCTCGAGCCGACCTGTGACGCGCCTCCAGACAGGCTCGCTGAAGCCTGTTGATCGTTACGGCTTCCCATTGTCTGCTCACGTCACCACCGCCTCCACTGCCTCACCCATTCCCCGCGACTACAGAGGGCCCTTGCGCAATTTCCGGTGGCGCGCGCCATGGTCGAGAGTACAAGGCTCTCGTCGACAACAACACGTGGCGACTCGTTTCCCAGCCCCCAGGTGCCAACGTGGTGACAGGCAAGTGGATCTTTCGGCACAAGTTCCACTCCGATGGCACCCTGGCTCGTCACAAGGCTCGCTGGGTTGTTCGCGGCTTCACCCAGCGCCACGACATCGACTACGACGAGACGTTCAGCCCCGTCGTCAAGCCTGCCACCATTCGGGTCGTCCTCAGCATCGCCGCTTCTCGTCAGTGGCCCATCCACCAGCTGGACGTGAAGAATGCCTTTCTTCACGGTCACCTGCACGAGACGGTCTACTGTCAGTAGCCCCCCGGCTTCGTCGACCCGGCGCGTCCCGACGCCGTCTGTCTTCTTCAGCGCTCCCTCTACGGCCTCAAGCAGGCCCCGCGGGCGTGGCACCAGCGCTTCGCCACGTATGTTCGACAGCTCGGCTTCGTCGCTTCTGCCACCGACACCTCCCTCTTCGTCTACACTGAGGGCGGCGCCGGTGCCTACTTGCCGCTGTACGTCGACGACATCGTCCTCATGGCTTCCTCGGATGCTCTGCTCCGCCGCATCATCGGTCGCCTTCACTCTGAGTTCGCCATGACGGACCTTGGGGAGCTCCATCATTTCCTGGGGATCTCCGTCACTCGCTCCTCCAACGGGCTCTTCCTCAGCCAAAGGCAGTACGCGGTGGATCTTCTTCAGAAGGCGAGCATGACCGAATGTCACTCGACATCGACGCCTGTCGACTCTCGTGCCAAGCTCTCTGCCACGGAGGGCGCTCCCGTCGCCGACCCCGCCACGTACCGGAGTCTCGCCGGCTCACTTCAGTACTTGACGCTCACTCGCCCCGACCTGGCGTACGCTGTGCAGCAGGTGTGCCTCTTCATGCATGATCCGCGCGAAGCTCAACTTGCGCTGATCAAGCGCATACTTCGGTATGTGAAGGGCACACTATCGGCTGGCCTCCACATCGGTATTGGGCCTATCGACAAGTTGATTGCCTACTCCGACGCTGACGGGGCAGGGTGCCCCGACTCCCGCCGCTCCACTTCAGGCTTCTGCGTCTTCCTCGGCGACAGCTTGGTGTCCTGGTCGTCCAAACGGCAAACCACGGTGTCCCGGTCCAGTGCGGAGGCCGAGTACCGGGCTGTTGCTCATGTGGTCGCAGAGTGCTGTTGGCTTCGACAGCTTCGTCAGGAACTTCACGTTCCATTGAAGGTCGCCACAGTTGTCTACCGTGACAACGTCAGCGCTGTCTATATGACAGCCAACCCGGTCCACCACCGCCGTACCAAGCACATAGAGATCGACATCCATTTCGTCCGTGAGAAGGTGGCTCTCGGCGAGGTTCGCGTTCTCCATGTGCCGTCCAAGTATCAGTTCGCTGATATCATGACAAAGGGGCTGCCGATTCAGCTATTTGAGGATTTTCGGTCCAGTCTGTGCATCCGGAATCCTGACGCTTCGACTGAGGGCGGCTGATAGATATGTACATTAGGAAAGTGTATATTAGGCAAGTCTATATTTAGTATGATTAGCACCTGCCATGTATTGCATGTAACCTGCCATGTATTGGCTATATATATCAAGGTCACCCCCCCCCACGTTGGGTGTGTGGTGTTTTCCATTCAATCTCTGTTATTCTACAATCTCTGTTATTCTACAAGTTGGCAGTCAGGTACGTGAGCCTACAGATTCACAAGAAAGTAACCATATTGAGAAACTAGCCGGAAATAATAATTGATGTGAACACGCTTGTACAGCATCAACATGACAGCAACATAACTATTCCCTATTTCCCTCTGTCCTAAATTAGGTCGTTTTGCTTTTCTAGTTACATAGCTTTTGACCTACACCTAGATATATGCTATGTCCAGATACGTATGTATCTAGAAAAAGCCAAAACAACCTATAATTTGAAACAAAGAGAGTATATCACTGAACCAAACAGCATCCACCTATCTACTATGAAGATTATACATCAAATTCAACTAGCAGTTGTAACATAGTTAACATTTATGGAAAATAAAGAATCATACTTATCACTGTGCAACGAAAATTAATTAGCAACATCCCATAACCATCATGCCACTCCATACTATCTCAATGAGCATAATTATCTCAGTTAAACTATCAAGCCACTTCCATATCAGGTTCTTTTAGGGAGTGTTCGGCTGGCTGGTTGGCTGGCTTGTTCTGTTTTTTTTTTCCAGCCGGAGCAGTGTTTTTCTTTCACAACATTTTCAGCATGAACAGTAAATTCCAGCATGAACAGTGCCGGATTCATACCAGCCGAACACTCCCTTAATTTCAGATACCATAGGAACACTTGTCGATTAAGAAGCCAAATTTGGGTAATCATCACCACAGGCTACACCTCATTCCTTAAATAGTATCTGTTAACTACCAATTATCACAAGTGAATTGATTTTCTTCTATCCTATTCAATCAAGCTCCACATCATTCAATTGTCAAATACCCCTGTTTGAGTTTCACATCCAGTTCAAGTAAACCCCTCATATTAATCGCCTTCCCATGTTCTGCTTGCTCTTTCTTCACTTAAACCCACTTTCCATTCGAGCAAATAAATAACAAGACTGTACAGAACAAACACATTCCCGTTCTGTTTGCCATAAACTAAACCTACAAATATAACCTTTCAAGCAACAACAGTACAAATTAATAGCCCGTGGTCCTGTGGAAGATAACAAACAACAGATTGACCAAACTGTCATCAATAGACCATGAATGGTCATAATATGCCAAACCCTAGATAGCGCCAGCTGCCCAGCAGTACTATCGCTCTCCAACTTCTTTAGTTCTATTTGGACGGGGAATCGATCTCCAACTTTGGAGACGCGGAATTTAATAATCACAAAACAAAGAATCGGATGTGGATCATCTAGAAAAGAGGGCTTAAATACGTACGTTAAGGATGTGTGTGATACTGAGCGTCCTGAGGACCTCTGAGCGTGAGGCGTTGTCGTAGCTACCGAGGAAGAGGAAGTCCTTCAGCACCTCTGTGGGGAAGGCGGACTCGTGCCTCGCCGGGGCGCCCTCCCCGTCCGACGGTTTCCAGCGGTGGCCGCACACCCCGCAGACCTCCCCCTCCTCGTACTTGTGGTAGTGCCCGCAGATCCCGCACGGGTTCTCCCGCTCCCGTTTCCTCATCGCCTTCCTTCCCCTCTCCCGCCGCCGCCGCGGTGACGCTAGGTCCCGGTGATCGGCAGGAGGCGGTGGGCTCGTGCGGGTGCCAGGCTCGGATCCGGGTCGAGTCGATTTGGGGTTTTGGGTTCGAGTCTTTGAGAAGAAGAATAGCTGATGACAAAGAAATCGGTGAGGACGGGGATGTCACGGTGGGACCGCCTCGTCATCCGATCGGACGGACGGCTCCACGCTTCACACAGATTTGTCAGTTAGTGCATCTCGAATATGCTTTTATATTTTTCCTAATTTAAGTTTTCAAAAAATATTTTTTTTAATTTACAGGATTAGAAATTTTGGTGAAAAAATACCCTCCAACAGCATCTTCAATTGGATATCCAAATTGTTGGATTCATAAACGCAGGGTCCCTCATGGACCTGCTTCCCGGCAAAAGCTCGGTCAAGCAGATGACATTGCGAACGACGAGCAACTCCTGGGCCGGCCCAAAACCCTAACGACAGGCCAGAAAGGTGATCTCCGACTGAAATGGCCAAGGAGGACCGACGCTCGCTTCCGACTCTGGCCCGACTTTCCGACTAGAATGCTGGCCAAGGAGGAACGACGCTCGCTTCCGACTCCGGCCCGCCTCTTCGACCGGGAGGCCTGGCCAAGAAGGAACGACACTCGCTTCCGACTCCGGTCCGTCTCTCCGACCGGAAGGCCTAGCCGGCTCACCTCCGACTCCTGCGCTCGCTTCCGACTCCGGCCCGCCTCTCCGACCGGAAGGCCTGACAAAGAAGGAACGACGCTCGCCTACGACTCCAGCGCTCGCTTCCGACTCCGATCCTCCTCTCCGACCGGAAGGCCTGGCCGAGAAGGAACGATGCTCGCCTACGACTCCGACTCGCTTCTCTAACCGAAAGTACATCTAACCTCTGCTAACAACTCTTCTCCAACCAGGAGGCCAGAGCTGACTGGGGAACGACCGATCGAGGACGTCCGCTCGGTGAAGACCCAGGAAACAAATAGGGCAAGTAAGGTGGTGCGCTCCAGTCAACCGCAATATCAAGGACCATACCCTGCACACCTACAGGACAGTACTGTCATGTTATATCAAAAGGGTACTTTATATCCTTCCAGACATGTCAGAACATCAACAATGTTATGGGTGCCGATATTTATCCTACAGTATGGTAGGCGTCGACATCAGCCGTACCGGAAGACCACGATGGAGCCTATCACATGCATCCGGACATCAACAATGTTGTGGACGCCGACAAACCGCCTTATACCCGACAGCGTGGGCAACAAGACTAGCTAGCACACACACGCTCTCACACACTCTTTCTCTTGTAAAGCCATCCCCTTCATCTATAAAAGGGGATGTGCTTTCTCCAAAAGGGGGACGGATTGATTCACAGACGATTCAACCACCAGGGGATCGATTCATGAACGATTCGAACAACCTACGATTCGAACGACTCCAACAGAGCACACGCTCAAATACTTAGCGCACGTAGGAGCTCCCATCTCTCTTGGCCCTTCGATTCAGAGTCCGACCGGACCTCTTGCACCCCCATCTTACTCTCTCTCGTTTGTAACCCCACAGCAAACTTTGAGCACCTGGGCTCAGGAATAAAGTCACCGACCGACTTAAATTGGACGTAGGGCATGTTGCCTGAACTAGTATAAACCCTGTGTCATTGAGTGCTAGACCACTTCCGATCACAACGTACGATAAAACTATAAATATTTACGTTTTGGTCACTTTCTGCATCGACAATTGGCGCCGTCCGTGGGAAGGACGCTGTACGTTCACGCTTTTGATCATCGGATGGCCAACCTTTCGGCCACCTTCGCCGTGGCGGGCTCAAGCAATACGACTCGCTTCGGCTCGCTGGAGTTTTCCGCTCTCCCACCTGTTGGGATGTGGGTTCCACCCGTCTTTGAGCCATCCTAGGCCTTCCTCTTCGGAAGCCTGGACTTCGTCGCTGACCAGCTCGGCGTGCTTCACCTCCACGAGGAGGCACTCATCATAGCACCCGTCGGAGGAGGAGCGCCCTCCTTAGGCACCGGGCGACCCAGCGACCTCAACGATGAGGCGCCTGCGCTTTGCTCCGAGCCTACGCTAGGCTCAAACCCCACTGTGAGTGATGTACATATTGTTATTTACTCGCTATTTACTATTTTCCGCCGATTCTCTAGAGGGACCCCGTTGTTCCTGCCACGACCGCCATACAACCGGTTCCTCTACGGCCTCGCATCCCCTGTGGACACGTACACCTGGGGGCTCTAAAGGATGCTGGCATCGCACCCTTCCACATTCGAATTGTGGGGATGGCGAGCTATGCTCCCGCCTCTTTTCACGACCTCATGGATGACGATGTTGAGAGCGACGGCTCCAGCACTGGTGGTGTCGTGGCATCTAGCCACCCTTTGTCCCACGAGTGCGCTATGGCAGACGCTCCGAGATAGCTGCCGGTGGTGGTGGAGTCTCTTCAGACCCACACCCCTCCGGACCCTCGCGCGGATGCCCTCGTGTGTGCCCAGGCGCACGGCGAGGAGCTACGACAAAGGCGGCAGAACCAGCCGCCACCTGCGCCGATGCGCTCGGCACACCACGATGCGCCCCGTGTGCGTAACCCGGCGAGTGGCGCCCGGGGTCATGCCCGCCAGGTTCAGCGTAACATCATCGACGGGGGAAATGATCCCCCATAGTTCGCTCAGGTTGGTCAGAACATTACCGCGGTGGTAATGCTTCTGTACGGCCTTCCTGAGCCAGTCGACCCACAGGAGCAGGCGGTCCACCGGAACCTCCGGGCACTGGTGGAGACCACCGCTGTTCAATAGGCGGAGAGCTCCGCGTCGCAACACCGACTCGCGGCCTCCATCCCCACCAGGGGGCAGGGACGCATCGACGCATCTCTCCATCTGCTCACCTCTATAGTCGCCGGGAGTGAAATAGGAGGACATAGCTGCACCGTGCCCTGACCCAACGCCCGCTCTACACCGGCCACCTGTGCGCGAATGCCTCGGGCTGAACTAAGATGCTCGCAGCGTCATCAACAACCGGCGTTAGGCCTGGCATGACGATGATGTCCATCGGACGACGGTGAGAGCAGGCAGCACGGGCTCTGACCGAACTATTGAGGGGACCGACGAGATGCACCCTGGGCGTGGTCACCGACCGGACGACCGGAGTCCCAGCTCGGATGGCCCGAGACCATGGGCTTTTGGTCGATGCATCCAGAGAGCGCCGTTCTCGTAGCGCTTTCGATCGCCTACCAACATCGCCAAGTGTACCGGGGAGACGAACCTCGGTATATGGCTCAAGGACTTTTGGCTCGCCTGCCAAGCCGGAGGAGTGGATGATGACCACTTCATCATTCAGTACCTCCCTATCTACATGGGGGAACATGTTCGAGCGTGGCTCGAATTCCTCCCGCACGACAGCATCCACGACTAGGCAGACCTCAAGAGGATCTTCGTCGGGAATTTTCAGAGGACGTATGTCCGCCCAGAGAACTCCTAGGACCTCAAGAGCTGCCAGTAGGAGCCCAACGAGTCCCTACGGGACTACGTCCATAGGTTCTCGAAGCGGTGCAACTCCCTTCCTAATGTCATCGACGCGGACATCATCAGCGCATTCCTCTCTAGGACAACCTATGAGTCCTTGATCCACAAGCTTGGCTGCCTGAAGCCCCAAACCACCCACGACCTGCTCGACGTCACCACAAACCACGCCTCCGGTGAGGAGGCAGTCGGGGCGGTCTTCAATGGAGGCCGAGACAAGGGCAAGGCCAAGCGCGAGAATCAAGACGAGGGCCCCTCCATGCATAGGGGCAAAAAGAACAAGAAGGATCGCCACCGACTGGCCAACTCTGCGTTGGTCGCCGCGATCGATCGTGCGGGCAAGCAGCCCCAACCGGGCCAGCCTAGTCACTTCGACAAGCTAATGGATAGTCCATGCACCAACCATGCCTACCTCGTCAAGCACCTCTACAAGGACTACGGGCTCCTCAAGTGCTTCCTACGATAGCTCGGTGGGCCGAAAGAAGGAAAGGGCAAGGAGGCAACAGCCAAGAAAGGAGGCGCGGTGGAAAAGGATGGAGATGGCTTTCCCAACCCCGAGGAACGCATCATGATCTTCGGGGGATCCGATGCCATCTACTCCAAGCGCCAGCACAAAGGGCGCTACAGAGAAGCATGTGTCGCTGAGATGGCTGTCCCCACCTTCCTTCGCTGGTTGGAATCTCTAATCACCTTTGATCAGAGGGACCATCCTTCCCATGTCACCAGACCAGGTCACTACCCGCTCATCATCGACCCCATCATCCGCAAGAAGCGCCTCACCAAGGTGCTGATGGACGGAGGCAGCGGCCTCAACATCCTCTACGTCGACACCCTCGACACCATGCGCATCCCCCAGTCGGAGCTCCACCAAGTGAGCTCTCCCTTCCATGGTGTGATCCTGGGGACACAGGTGTACCTGCTCGGGCAGATCGACTAGCCCGTCATGTTTGGCTACCGAGCCAACTTCTACTCGGAGGTGCTTACCTTCGAGGGGGTGGACTTCCCGGGGTCTTACCACGCCATCTTGGGGCGACCATGCTACGCCAAGTTCATGGCGGTCCCCAACTACACCTACCTGAAGCCGAAGATGCCGGGACTGAATGACGTCATCACCGTTGGTAGCACCTTTTCGCACGCCTACACGTGCAACCGTGAGCATTTCGAGCTCGCCACTACCGTCATCAACTCTTTCGAGCTCCCACAGCTCGGGGAGTTGTCGACCCTAGCAGTCCTAGACTACAACAATCCAACCTCCTCGACTGCCTTCTGCTCACTCAAGGAGACCAAAGCGGTGGGGATCGACCCCACCGACCCAACCAAGATGGTGCGAATCGGGACCCAGCTCCTGGCCAAAGAGGAATGCGAGCTCGTTGACTTTCTATGCGCCAACCGTGACATCTTCACATGGAAACCTTCTGACATGCCAGGCATACCACGGGAGGTCACTGAGCAC